ATATTTAAATTCGCTGAGACGAATTGAAGATTGAGAAACATAGAAACAGAAGAAAAAGGGAAAAATCAGGAACCAGGGATTAGGTTAAATTACAATTACAATAAACAATAAACTTCTTGCACTTGTTTACAGAATTACACAACGAGTTTACTGCAAGTTAAAACTGGTTTAAACATATATGTAGTTATGTGTGCCTCACACATGAATACTAAAGTACAGTATTACGCCTTTAATTTCACTCAGCGAGTGAAACACAGTAATGACCACCAGGTTGCTAGGCTTGTATATATATATAGTCAAAGTGTAGATGAATTGCTTCACTCTAATTATAATCTCTAAGGCCTTTATGCTGTAGAAAGGGAAGCATCACTCAAATCTACCTTGATATAACTGTTCTGAGATTCCTTCTTCAGAAACAATTTAAACAATACTGCAATTTTGTGATTTCTTCACTAAAACAGATTAATTCATTATGGTACAGTTTGGGCATGCCGCTGAGCTGAGATTCAGACTTATGCTTCATCAGAACAGACTTATGCTTTAATACTGAAATTAGGGTTTCTTCGCTAAAATCAGATTAACCTTACACTGCTACCATTAAGCATGAAATCCATAAAGACTCTTTCAATCATAATAGAGGTACAAATTCAAACCCCCACTTTATCTGCATCTAAACAAGCCAGCAAATAGGGACACAACAGGGCATCTCAAGCCACGCCCTATTTTAACCTGGACTATCACGAACACACTTTTATGTTGACAGTGTTTAAACTCATAACTTTCATTTTATCATGCCCGGGTGATGCCCCAAGTAGAAATTCTCTTAGGAATATATATATGGCTATCATCCGATCAGCAATAGATTATGGTAGTATGATTTATGGGTCGGCGAGTAAGTCTCTACTAAAAAAAGTAGATGCAGTACAGACGGAAGCTTTGAGAATATGTTGTGGGGCATTTAAAACTTCCCATAGAGCATCCATGCAAGTTGAAATGGGAGAAATGGTGTTGGAAATAAGACGTAAACAACTGAAAATGGTATATTGGGCATCTCTGATGGGGCACAACAATGAACACCCTACTAAAGCAATATTTTTAAAAAGTTGGAAATATGGAAAAAGTCATATTAAAGGGGTCATATGATGCGATTTAAATTTTTCCTTTCTCTTTGGAGTGTTACAAGCTCTTGGTGCATAAAGAAGATCTGTAAAGTTGCAAAGACTAAAGTCTCAAATCCAAAGAGATATTCTTTATACAAGTTATGAGTCGGCCACACCTACCTAAAACGGCTCGTTCTAACACGCCCCCACATATCTACCTCACTATGTGGGAATATTTGCATAACGCCGCCCAAATGTTCACGCAAAGAATCACTGTAGTTTTGTTGACGCTGCAGCCATGTCGTGAAGACGCTGTGTGCTTCGTTGTGAAAGCGAAACTACTTTGTTTGGTCTTCCAAAAGAGGACGATATCCGCTTCGTCATGCCTAGAGCTGATCTGTGCTGGTCGCTGAGGGAATACATCAACTTTCACCGTGGACAAAGCGGAAACGCCACCTCAAACCTTACTTCTATTTCTATTTCTTTAGTTTATTTTATTTTCCGTTGAGAGTTTCATGTTTGAGTTAATGAGTTAAGACGCCGCATCTCCCAAAAGAGTGCCATCTAAACTTCAACTGCAGACCACAGCTCCGCATCGCCAGCCAACGCCCAACCACTGGCTTCCCAAGACTGAACCTCCAGCCAATCAGCAACCTCGGGAAACTCCTTTCGGCAACCAGACAAG